CATATGGCAAGCCCAGCTTTCAAAAGTAGGTGCATATGAAATTAATAGCATATCTCCTGTTGTCATTGTTCCAGCTGGACCATGCCTTTGGCTTCACTGGCATGTACGCGACATACTGTAGAATCCTTGCCACCCTTACTGGTTACCCCTTGAGAATGATGATATTGGGACTTTGCAGAAGATCCAGCACAGACATTACATTGGCTCTCCAGCTGGGGAGCTCATTAACTCAGACTACCAGCAGGCATAAATGCTCTCTTCTATCTACACCAAACCCAGGGCCCTGGGTGTTCTAAGTGACGAGGCTGCTGGCTGCCAGAGAACTCCATTTTAAGCTATGTGAACTCTGTCACAGGGACAAATGTAAGTGCAAGAATGGTAAAACATGGGCCCCTTTAGGCTGAAGTGAGCAATGGTACACACGTAACAGGGTAACTACTGGTAGAATGGTCTTCTATACAGGTAAAATACGAGCCGCTTCAAGCAACTGAGAAGCAAACTTTTATAGACCCTTGGCTGAGAGATCTATTCTACTGTTCCAATAAGAGATACCCCAACATTTTCTGTTGTTCAGGTCTGCATTTCAATGCTTAGAGTCAGCTCTTATCCTTTCTAGAACAGCTCCTGATTCATAGCAACCAACACCAGAAAGCATGAACCTGTTTCCATACACAGGGACACAAAAAATTACCGTGGAGGAAGACACAAAGAACAAAGTAACCCACTTATTCGTGACTTCAGACCACCCTTCCATATTGCTGTTTCATGGTAACTTTGACTAACTATTATTTTATTGGCTCGCATCACATCCTTATGGCTTTAATTTATTTTTTGGAAAATGCACCCCACATTTAATTAGTTTATAGTTCATGCCAAGTTTTGCTTATCCAGCTTTTTTTTAAGTTTGTATTTTGATGTTTAGCATTTGCCTCAGCAACATCTGGAACTCCTTTATCGAAGTGTATTGTTACTTTTACTGCTTGTGCAGCTTTATTAAATCAGCTGAGTATTAATATTGAAAGTGCTCATCTGGGTCTAATTAGGACTTCTCTGAGTGATGTGGCAGCTAAACTGTGCCTCCGAGCTAATTGTTCAGGGACAGAAAGTTCTGAAGGAACTTTTGGTGGGTTTCTTATGCTTACTTTTACTTGTTGAAAAAGAGAAGGTGTTCTTGCCATAATCACTTTCAGAAAAGATAATGGCATTCATGCGGAACACAGTACAATCTCCACAGAATTTTGACTTGTTGCAACATTATTTCTGGAGCTTATTTATGTAATTAAATTAGACATTAAAAAAGGTAGATATTTGCATTGATTTCTTCATTTTGCAATACCGATGACACTACCAAATTGTTAGCTTCTCCACATGCACTGTTACAATATTGTCGGATTAAAGAACCTGAGATCCCAACCCTGCATATCAGTAGGAGTGTACAGGGTGTCTGACTGCATGCGCTGATTTGCAGGATAGGGGCATAAACAACAAACCAAATCCTTCTTTAGAGAATGTGATGTATGTGCATGCGCACACACAAACATACTTCAGCAACGATGACAAGTGCACATATTCCAATCACTCTTCTTTTTGGGAGTAGGGAAGAGAGCATACCAATATTTGCAGTCACAAAACAATGTTTCCAAGCAAACACGTGAGCAATGGCACAGTTTCAGAGCAACTGTATGAGTATCCGCCCTCCATGGTCCCCCTATGTATTAAGTGGCATTTTAAACTCTTATTTTGCTATTAAACTTTTATTTGCTACTAGATTCTTTATCATGTTTGATAAGATTAAGGAAACAAATCCTCTCTCTGCCATAGCAAAATAAAGCATAATTTCCCAATAGCCTCTATATAACTGTGGTGTCCTCAGCTAATTCTTTTAAAGATTACCTGACTCACTGACACTTGGCATTCAAAGCCCAGATCCTGAAAATCCATACTCCCATGAGAAGTTAGGCAAGAGGTGCCTTTAAGATCAGTGGGACTGCTCACTAGCTAAGGCTGGGGCCTTGTCTACACTGGCAAGTTTTGTCACCAAAGACTGCCCTTTGTTGACAAAACAGTGAGAATGTACACTCTACACTACAATGCAACTTTTGTTGGAAAAAACACCCAGTTTTGGTGAAAAAAACTTCCATCCCTGCAAGAGAAACTTGCGTCTTTTCTCTGCTCTTTATTGTTGACAAAGAGCCAGCGCGGACTGTTTTGTTGAGAGAACTGGCTTCTACCTGTATCCCACAATGCTATCTCTGAAGGCTTTGCTCAGTGTTTTGTGATCTCTGCTGCCCTTCAGGCATGCACCTCTCCCCTTTCAAAGCCCCAGCAAGTATCTAAAAGCTGATTGAGATGCTCGGTTTGGGGAACAAAGAACAAATCACTGGAATGCTTCTCTTCTGCCCTGCACTAGAAAGACAGCAGCAGGCAGACTGCTGCTGCAGAGGGAAGGCTGGAGAGACTGCAGTGCTGCTTTGACATTCCTCAGCATGGAGAGCTCACAGAGCTAGGAAGGAATCCTAAGAAACGCAAGGATCAGCTCTGTTTTCCCACGACACTGCACTGTGGGCACTTACCCACATTGCTTTGCTCTTATCTGTTGACAGGGAGCTAGCAATGTGGCCATGAAATGTCAACAATGGGAGGCAGAAAAACTGGTTTAAATGGTTTTCACTTTTGGTGACTTTTGCATGTCGACAGCACTTTTGTCACCAAAGCTAAGTGAGTGGGAGTCTGCAGGATGGAGCCTTTATTTTGAAAATTAGATTTCAGACTAACCTGTTGGAACAATACACATGTAGACCGACACATGGTCAACATTTTCAAATCTGGGTGCCTAAAGTTAGGCTGCTAAATTAGAGTGTCCTGATTTTCAAAGGCTAAGATTTTCAGAGTCACTTAGGGGATTTGGAAACCCAAATCCCATTAGAATTAATGGGCTGTTACTATTAAGGACAAAAACCAATCACAGTCACAGCAGAACGAGGCACAATGGGAACTGAGTGTCCAAATCTCCTTGGCAATGCTAAAAATCTCAGCATGAAGTGGAACAAGCTGACAGCTCTCATTGAAATTGACAAGGATTTTAGGTGCTCAGCGCCTTTGAAAATCAGGCTGCGGCAACTCAGCGCCTACATTTGGGCCATTTGTTTTTAAACACACTTCTTTGATGGCTCTTTTGTTTGCCCTTTTAAAATCAAAATAAGCAGCTCTCTAACAGGAAGTTTAAATTTAGCTGAGATTTATTCCTTAACCTAAAATAGATCCTTAAGCTCTGGTACAAAAATAAATATGATTTTGTACCCAAGCCAGGTACAGCGCAGCTACTGCACATGTGCTGCCGTTATTTCTTCATCATTGTGCGTGTTTAGAATCAGGTCTCTGTACCCAACCGTATTCTGTGCCACAGAAAGGGCTGCCCAACAACAAACAGACCAAACAACAAAAGGCTTTATATTAGAGGGGAAGGGCTTACCTTGGAAGATGAAATCCAGAAACCTCTCCCCTGCCAAACTCCTTAAATTCAGAGGCAAAGGACTTGGAAGAAGGGTCGTAAATTCACTCATCTCTGAACCCCCCCAGCAAAGGGAAAACAGCCCTAATCGTTAGCCCTTCTCAGCTGCAGCTCTCAAGGCATCTTGTGAAGTAATTTTCTGCATCTCCATTTTACAGAGGGAGAAATGGAGGTGGCACAATTACGGTCACACAGCAGCAGGGGTGGTCAGAGCATTCCAATTACAGTAAAACTCCAACAGTCTGGCATCCAATAGTCCGCCCGATAGTCCGGCATCAAAATGGCAAGAGCCTAGTGAGTCAGCTTCGGCAAAAAATGAGTTACAAGGTAACAGCGGCAGCAGCTGAACTGAGCAAAAAGGGTAAAAAAGGCTTAAAAAAACTAAAACATTACAGTATATTGTATACAATATGTACAATAAAAAGGGTTAAGAACACTTTCTATACAGTATATAATGTATACAGTGTGTGTGTGTGTATATATATATATATATATATATATAACCATCTTATAGTACCTCCTGATAGTCCGGCATATCTGATAATCCGGCACCACCTAGGTCCCATAGGTTCCGGATTATCAGAAGTCTCCTGTACATGGGTGCTAACTCCAGAGTGACTGCAGTATCATAAGTGAACAATAAGGACCGAGAAAGGATGGCAATAAGAGGGTCGGGGTGGGTGCGTGATCTGGTGGCAGGGCCAGACCCAGTGCAGGGCCTGCTCTGCTCAGCCAGTCCCTCTTGCTCAAGGCAGTGAGAGACAGCTCACCCAGGATGTGAGGGAAGAGGTGGGCTGTACCTACCAGCTGCTCAGAGAGTCCCTGCCATGAGCCCAGTGCCCTGGCAACTGGGACACACAGGAGTACTGCCCCTTCCCCAGCGCCCCCTCTGGGGAATTCTGCCCTTTGAGTCCCTGACATTGCTGCACTATAATGTAGCTAGGAGCCGCACCACCACAACACAAGGCCTGGGCCGTGGAGCCATGTGCAGCTTCTTGAGCCAAGGAGCAAATGCCATTCTCCCTCCTCCAGGTGTTTTTGCATCTTTGGTTTTCCAATTTCTGTGGGTGTATTTGAACCCCCAGCTAAAGTCTTACCCCCCACTGCCTGATAGGTCAGTGGCAGAGCCAGGAACAGAAGCCAGGTCTCCTGACTCCCAGTCCAGTGAACTATCCACTGGCCCACACTCCCTCTAACAGCTCTGCATATTCAGCGTGGACATAAGTGCTCTCCAGCAGGACCCGCTGCCTTGATGCTCACACTGCTACAGCTGCTGCCCGTGAATTCTGGCCTAACACATTAGACTGAAGAGGTCAGCAGAGAAAAACGATAAACAAAACACACGTACAAGCAGAGTCAGCTCGGGCTTGTCCCGCTGTCCTCCTGTGGTTCTGTGAATCACACGTTTCTTTCATAGGCAAACTAAGCGCCAGCTAAGACTTGAGACACAAGTGACTAAGAAAACCAATAATTTTGTTTCTATTTGCAGCACGTTCTGCCTGGGCACGAAGAAATCTGAAGACCAACTTGTGTAAATGGTGTGACTCCACCTCCCCAGCGTGCGAGGAAAAGGTGTGCTACAGCAACTGTAATTTGAATTCCTACTGTGAGAACCCATATGAAATCTGTGTGGCCATCTGGTAAGCAACAATCCTATTACCAATGTGCTTTCTGAATGGCAAAAATCATCTGAATTATGTACAGAATAAAAGAAGGAACCATGTGAAACGATAGCCTTGGAGCATGCTATTGCTTAGAGCTATGCACATATTAAATGCACATGCACAGGGTTCATTCTCCATTAATCTTCTTTCCCACACAGTCTCAATTTGCACGGACACAATTTGAGATTTTCAGATGCACTCTATGAAGTTTCACCACATACAAGTCTACTATTGGCCAAGCCCTGCAACTGTACTCCAGCAAAACTCTCTTGGATTTAACCCTGCAAGTGAGATACTCAAATCTTGACACAGCCTGAGATGTCAAACTCTGATTTTTGTGAGAAGCTGTTGGCCACATTAGGAGACACTATGTACCGGTAATTCACTTGTGGCTTTAGCACTTGGAATAACAGAGCCATCACAAATACATGCCAGTTAAACCTGCCTCTAAGCCAGAGGTGGCCAAACTCACTAGCCTTATATGGCTCCTTTACGCTTAAGTGTGGCTCAGAGCCCACCTTTCCCCCCACCACCCACACCTCACCTACTGGACTTGAGGGAAGCTCGGGACCTCTGCCTTGCAGGGGGACAGAGGATGCGGGTAGAAACTTCTGTCCAGCAGAGACAGAAGGTCTGAGGGATTCGGCCTCATGGGGCTT